TCAAAAAAAAAAAAAAATGGGGGGGAGGGTTCTTTTTTTTTTTTTTTTTTTTGTTTTTAAAGTTTGATATGCACAGTTTATCAAGTGCAGCACTTCCAGTATTTGTTTGCTTTAGGTGCATGTTTTGTGTTGGGAAATTCCATAGTTTCATCAGCCAAATGCAAGTAGTAGTGGAGGTTTTCTTAGAAGGCACCTGCTTAGTAGAATTACAGACATTTCTTCACTTTAAAGTTAATTTAATTACCATCTAATTTATATCTATATTTGCATTAAAACAACAAATAATACTTAAAAATCAGAAATTATATCGCAAACTGAAATTCTCCTTCCCTGTTATTATTTCAGTACATGCCAATGCAATATATTGCTGCTCACTCTGGTATTTATGATTTGTGGAAATCTCATCTCTGACTTAACCCTTTGCTCTAGAATTTTCCATGAAAGTAGAGTTTTAACTTGGTATCTCTAGATTACCCTTTATTCAGTGGCTGTGCATTTCCAGTGTGGCAGATTTTTGTTCTTTCAGTACAAGAAATGTCTATTTTTTGCTTAGTGAAAAAAGATACAAATCTCCATAGCTCAGATTACTGCTTATGACATAAAGTACAATTTAACAGTGCAGCTGTTTTATAATTGGTGTGAGCATTTTGTACATTATCTGTATAATCTTCATAAAATGTTTTTATTCAGTATTTTTCAAAAAGGTGTGAAAGGCTTACTGAAATCGTGAGTGTGGTTTTTTTTTTTGTCAGGCTATTTTCTGACTGATCGTACCGAGATCTGTATTTAACAGTACTTTGTCTTTCCAAGTGTGGTGTTGTGGAATAAGAACATGTTATTGGTTGGAGCACAGTTAAGTGCATCTTCCATTTTACTTTCATCTGAAAGAAATGTAGTGTGTGTGCTCCGAGACTGATGGCTCTGCAAAGGGAGCCAAGCTAGGGAAAGCGGGAGCGTTGGGAGACTCCTTCAGTGGGATGCTTCTGATCAAAACTAATAAGCAATATTAAGTTGTACATTTCCTTCTTCTGGCTTGTTTAGGTATATTCCTTACAGGAAAAAAAACACAAACACATGGCTAAACGTAAGAGCGAAGGCCTTTAAGTGAAAGGTTAGTTAAGATAGGCCAATGCAAAGTGACTCTAGCTCTGTTGGTTTGCACATTAGTAATACCTAAGCATTTACCTATCTGATTAGAAAAACTATTGGCATAGTGTCATCTAATGGAAAATAAAATGGCCCTTCTGTCATTCTAGGGTGTTTTCAGGGGCCAGTTTTGGTTCAGAATTTGGTCTGCTTACCCTGATTTCTGTTGGAACTCTTTAACTGGTATCTATTTTGTCTCCTGTCATTGCAGGAAATAAAACCTCATAACGCAACCGTACAGTAAATCTGAGGCTTGTATTCTTAAAGATGACCATTTTATTGCTGTCTTAAAACAACTCTACTACCTGTGAAGAAGTCTCATTCAGTTATCTGAAACATTTGTCATTTTCTGCTTTTTAGAGAAAATGCCTTTCTGTGCCAAAAATGCTCCCTGGTTGATAGTGTATCATTCAGCAATTACACTGAAGGAAGTTCTAAAATTTGTTAGCTGGTCTGAAGCTCCTGGATGAATTAGAGATGTTTTACAATATCACCTTGCCAAAATTGCCCCCCAGGATATTCTTTGAAAAAAAATTCTCACTGCTTCCCGCGTGTCTTTGGGTTGATAGGACAGGCTACTCATTTTAATCCCAAACAAGGCTATAGTTTTTTTTTGCATTTTTAAAGTTTACAAATCTTCAGCCTGTAAGTTAATATTACTTATAGTGCCACTGGAAGAGGGCAGGAGAAAAATCTTGAATTCACACGCTTCGGTTTTGTTTTTTTTTAAAATACAACTCCATTGTTTTCTTCAAGGCATTGAAACACAATGAATATTTTCAGCAACTCTTTTTAAGAAACAAAACAAACTAAAAAAACCCCCACCCCACAAACACAAAAAACATACCATATGTATTGAACAATAGGGAATAACTGCACAAGGACCAGATGTTCTCAACTTTTGCTGAAGTCAGTAGAAGTGAATATGGTGCAAAGCATCTGGAGATCCTAATTTACACAGAGTATCTGTTCTAAAGGTAGAGACTGTTTTGGAAATCCTCTTGAGTGTGCAAATTTTCTCTTCTTGCCTATCAAAATTCTCTTCTATATAGTGCAAAAATCTTGGCTTTAAAAGATATCTGTAAAAAACAGGTAGTGCATTTCTACCTACTGTGTTTTCCCCAAGTGCAAAAAACTTTTATGATGCCACGTGGAGTGATAGGTACGTACACGTCAGCGCAGTGAAATTGGTGGGATGGGGACAAGGAGAAGCATCTGCTCACGGCGTGCTCAGTTGAGAGTGTTTTAGGAGTCTGTAAACCCCGGTGGGATTTTTTTCCCCCCACTATCACAGCGTGCTGTACCAAGAGCATTTTAAATGTTAAGTCATAACCTGTTCCTTGTTGCCGTGTGGAATTACTTCACTTTGGGTAATACATTTCTGCTGGGGGAATCCACTGTGTGACAGGCAGTGGAAATGTAGAAGTTGCTTCGAAAGCATTTGGTCACCTGTTAAGGTTGTTGTTCCGCCTTGCTTGGTGTGATACACTCCCATGGCCAGGTGCTGGTGTTCCGGGGTGCGGTGCCCCTTGGTCCCGCACCCCTGCCCGCATTGCCTGGGGTGGCTGAGGTGCTCCCAGCCCATGCTGGCCCGGCTGCACGCTTGTGCGTTCCCCACATCGTAGGGGCTGGCCCTGCCCCCTCCCCTGTCCCTCCGTTTGCCTCGAAGCAATTAATTTTGCAGTTATTGAATTTCTTTGGAGAGTTATTTTCATACAGCGAGCATCACAGCACCTCTGGATCTTGATAGCATTTCTACATAAGGAGAAAGAAGCTTTGTGTTAGTAATTACCTAACATTGTCAGGAGCTGACTGCAGGCCTCTTTCTAGTGATAACAGAATAACCACATAATGTAGCTTTATAGCACATGATTAATAGAAAATAATTACACATCCTACAAAGGGATGCAATATTTCTTATAAATTGACTACAATGGTTTCCTGTAGATTAAAGGACTCTTCATTATTTTATCAGTCCTTCTGAAGTATAGTCGCTTGCCTGCGTTAGCAGTGATGTTAAGAGCTGAACGCAGTGAGGGATACCAGATGGTAAACCCAGTGGTACCTGAGATCTGAAGCTGATGCTTGCAAAAGCACCGTGCTTCCCAACTCTTTAAGAATTCATATAAAACTCCTAACTGTATTTGTATCCTTCTGCATATTAATCATTATTTGCCACAAATGTGGGCACTAGACTTTTATTCTGCCCACCTTAAGCAGCAGTAACAGACATACGGGCCTCACAATGGCAGTGTATAAATTATGTTGCCGTGAAGGACTTTATAATTGATAATGTTGATAGAAACAATAAGTCAATTTGGATTTTATATGTGACTTCAAGAAAGGACTGCGGGGGGAGGACTGCTTGTCTGCCGGACTAGTAAGCACTCTTTTGTGGTCCTGAGGGCAGAAGGGAGTGGTTATGAGTTTAAAGAGAAATATCTGTACTTTAATCAGTTTAAAAGAGAGTGCTATCTAATTATTCTAAAACCTGAGATTAGAGTTTTATATTCTTGGTAGCCAGGTATCTGCGTTATATTTTTTTGTTCGGACTTCTATAGACTGCAGATAGTTTAATTGGGATTCATGTTGCTTTTGAGACCCATGCAAAGAATAGTAATGTAAAGTAAAAGCTTCTGTGTTGCAATATTGTCTGTATGGTGTAATGGTTGCAGTGAATCCTTACATTAGTTTACTAGTCTGTTACATCAACATTCATTTCATCTTCTCACTTAGCTTCATGCCAGAGCAGTAAGTGGTGTATAAGTAAGTAGCAAAACCCAGAAAGTTTTCAAAACAGCAGCATGCTTTTAATTTTAGCTTGAGGTATCTGAATTGCTTCTTTAAAAACAATTGTTTCTAAGTTCATGTAGTGTTGCTACGTGGAACATTTTCAACGGATAATGTAGTCCACAGGCTTTTTCTATGCCATTTGTCATATGCAATTTAATGACCGCTTAACTAAGCCACTTCCCTCATTTCATGTATTGTTTGTTTTTTTGGCTGATGTCTAGCAAAACTTGCTTAATCACTCTTGTCAGTTGCTTCACGAGTTCCATGTAACAGCTTAAAATCTTTTGTTGCTTTCTCTTGGAGAGATTTATTGCTGAGGTTCCAGTAGTATACGTGAGTACTGCTCCTTTCAGCAATTTCCCACTTCTGTCTAGAAATCCAGTTTGTATATTTAACTAGTGTATTGTGAGATAAAGCGTAGCTTTTTAAACAGACTGATCTGAAACATTATAAACCTCAGTGTCAGGGTATTATTTAGCCTTTAAGTACTTGGGGTGTAACGTGTACCCCCATGGGAAAGGTTATGAGCAGTTCTTAACTTCTGTGGAGAGCAGTTTGCACTGAAGATCAGGTTCTGATACCTCGAGACTTTCAGACCAGACCCATCCCCAGCAGTCTGTTCTGCAGTGGAAGGGGAAAGAAGGTGGAATTATTTTTGCAGCTTTCTCGTTTGTGTGTTCACATCATAAAGTAAGGTTTTCCCCACTCCTCCTTATGTGGATTTTCTTTAAATCATGCTTACTGCAATATTTTAAGGGTAGTAGAATAGAATCTTTTAAATCACCAATTCACTATGAAGGAAGAAAATGTTTAAGAATTTAAGACTGGTGTTCAGCCTTTCACAATAAGAAAATATGAGTGTGTGTGTGACTACATGCAAGCTTTCTTTCTTTTTTTTTTAAAAAAGGCAAAAACCAACCAAACAAACAACCCCTAGGCCCCTGTGAAAGTGGGCCATCAACAGGCCTTCATCGCAGTTAAGCACAGGGATAGCTGAGTACCCTAAGCACCTCATAGGACCCTAGAGAACTCTCTACCAGGCCAAATATGCCAGCAGCAAATCATTATAGCTCAGGCTCTAATGAAACTCCATTAACCCTTAAGCTCCACTTGACTATTTATAACTGAAAAAACTTTATCTACAGTCAAAATAATAGCTTCATCTCAGTAGGACCATTAATTCAGAACCCTACAGCCTTTTGCTTTTCTTGTCAGAAGTGCAGCGTAGCAGGAAGCAGATGTTGCTTATCAGAAATATCTATGTATTTTCTATTTTCCATGTTTGTTCCAAAGTAGTTTCTATCTTACTAATCATTCCATTTTGAATGGGGTCTCTGTTTTAATAATGCTTCATTTGTAACTCAATATATGTGTGTGTGCAATTTCAGCTGTTACAATTTATTGAACCGCTGTTAGGATTGATCTTAAAATATTTACCTCATAGGAAAAAAATTGAATTTGGATCCCACAATACTCTTACTTGGTATTGCTTTTGGAAGATATTATTTCTTTAAACTATTATAATTCATTTTGTTTCATATTTATCTCACTAAGCCTAAACAAATTTCAAAGAAAAGTACATTAGTCATCTGTCAGACATATGAGATCTGCCGTAGAATTTTCTGCAAGCCTAAAGCAATAGTAGACTTTGTCCGTAGAAAGAGATTATGTATTACATATGTAGTGTTCTCTTCACATTTGAGTGAAATAGATTTTAAAATGACTTGATTGTAAGTTTCTTGGAGTTCAGCCTTGTGATGCTGCGAGAATCCCTGTTGATTCTTGTATGTCAACATTATGCTATTAGATCTTAGTTACAAAGATAAGGTTCTTACATTTGTGATGGATAGAGGATGGAGAGGTCAGCTATTTTTAGTAGGTGTTATAGAGAAGTGTGGCCGTAATTAAGAAATCTTCCTGAGTATGCCTGGCTTTTTTAAAATGTAACTTCTGTCTTTGCCTAACTCTGCATGTGGATGCCTCTAACAAAAAGATGTAATGTTTTAATTTTCAGTTGGAATGATTATAACTTTATATAAGAAAAAGCATCCATAAGGAGTTGCATACAAAACTCTATTGCATTTATATCAGACTAAAGGTTAATATTGCATATTGTTTTCAATTAGGAGTACAATAGATTTGGCTGGTGGGTAGGAGAAATGAAGGGAACCATTGGCTTGGTGCCTAAAGCCTACATAATGGAGATGTATGATATTTGAGAGGCCTGGGTAAGTACATTTTAATCCAATCTTCTGTAATGGCTTATATGTTCCCTTGTTTTCTGTTTCATAAGTATTTCTTTCCTGGAACCTTTGTAGGAGTCCTGTTAACATAAAGATTATGGCAAAATATATTGAAGGTTCAATTAAAGCACTTTTTGTGGGATTCTGTATGAAATATTAAACCATGGTGTACAAAAGATGATGTATTTTATATCTACGTTTCTTTTCCAGATTTTTTTTTTTGGTAAAATAAAATTGGTGTGCTTTCTAGTTAGTTTTGTTACTTTAGTAATATGTATGTATCTGTGCAGAAAACTGTGGAAGGGGATAGATATTTGAACTGGGTTTGATACGCATGTTTGATTTTTCTTTTTTTGGTTAATGATGAACTTTCAACTTCCCTCTCCCTAATCAGGAGAAATCTGCACTTGAAATCAAGAGTGTTGTGCAGCTGCAGTTTACAGACCCGGCCTCTGAAAGAAGAAGATTCTGCTGTACACGTTTCGTGGTTTCAGTGAACGTAGTCAGATCATTGCCTTATGTATATTAAACATTAAAAACTGTAATTGATCATAATTCTGCAGAAATGTTCTTCTTAGACACTTTTTATAGAGTTGTAATGCTAGGAAATGAAATAGATGGTAATTAACATATGGGGCACAAACAGCCAAATAGTGCCTGTTGCTCTGTTCTTAAGCGTATTAGCAGCACTCTGTAAAGCTTTAGGTTTGTGTTCTTTCAGGGAATTTGGCTATGGTTTCCCGTCCCTCAGATTTAGAAAAATTAAGCTGAACTTCGAAAGTAGAAAGCTATTACTCAGTTCATGCATGCATTAACCTTTTAATACTTGCTGTATATTTTGTGCAGTTTCCTAGGAAAATCAAGGGAAATTTACATGTAATGTTGCAAGTCTTCCGGGTATTCTGTTTCCAAATGATATATTTTTCTCGTATATTTAGTATTGTATTGTTAATTAATATTTTGTTACCACAAAATGAAGGCTTGGATCTTTTGCTGGAGTAGTAAATCAGCCTGGGTGGTAATACTGCCCTGATACCATTCTGACTTGATGATACGAATTATGTGAAAATTTGTAAAAAGATGATATATTAAACCCCACAATTTTTGCTAAGTCAGCATGAGCTAAACGGGAAGTAGGAATGATTTTTGTCTGTGGTAGCGTGAAATATTTTATCTGTACCTTACAGATGCTTTTCTCAGAGTCAAATCTGGATGCCTTGTTGACGTGGAGTTTCTGATACCAGTTGCGCAACGGACATCTTCAGCTCTCTGCGGGTTAATGACAGCTACCTGCAGTCTTAAGTGTCAAATCCAGAACTTTATGGATAAAAGCATCAGCTGAAATATAAAAAAGTCCTCTAAAACACTCTCACTTGTGGACAAGGGGTTGGGCAGGTCAGAGTTAATACTTTAAATCCTCTTGTTTTGGAGATGTGCTTTACTATTCGCACTCAAGATCAACTTTTTTTTGAATCCTCCCACACACTTGATTTGTGAGACCCTTAACCTGCCAAAGAGGCCAGTCCAGCCAGCCTGCGAATTGCTGAGCCTGTGCAGGTCCCCATGTAGCTGCTTGTGCTGTTTACGCTTGAGGCAGGCCCTGCGAACACGGCGGGTTGAAAGGTGAGGTCGGTCTGAGCTTGGAATCGGATCCTTGCAGTAAACTGAGATGTTGTGCTTTCTGTTAGCTAACGCACGATGCTTGACGGTGCGCTGGATTCCAGCAGGAGTCAAACAGGGTACGGAGTTCTGTTGTGTTTTTGTTTAAAAAGAGATAGTCATTGAAATTGATTCTGTACGTTATCAGTGAAGCATTAAAATGATAGATTATGGTCTTCAGATCTCTTACTACTTTAATTTATCAAGTGTACTTGTGGATTGTGTACGGAATGTGAAGCGTTAATATCAGGGCGAGAAAAGCTCCTTTCTCCCTTGTTAACATGGCAGCGTCATCAATCCGCCCTCTGAAACGTCTTTTTATTAACTACGTAATTCCGAATTCCGCCTACTTTTTCGGGAGTAGTTCACACACACGCTCCCCACACCCCCACCCCCGTTGAGACGAAGTGCAGGCGCGTGAAACTTGATTTAGGACAGGACCAGGGTGGAGAGGCCGGGGCCCAGCCGGGAGCGGCCCTGCCCTGCGCTGCGCGGCCCTGCCCTGCGCTGCGCGGCCCTGCCCTGCGCTGCGCGGCCCTGCCCTGCGCT